AGGCCAGGGCGTTGGGGGACGCCAGCCCCCCCGTGGGCTCTGCGGAGATATTTGTCTCCTTTACTCCAGGCTCTTAATCTTAAACAGTGCACAGATTTGTTTTCCAGCATAAGTTCATTTTTACATTGTAAACGTGTTTCCCTGAATGCTTGTATACTTATGTCAGTTATACATTAAACCTGCAAAAGCCACATTATTACATCTCCATTTTCTTTCCACCTCTATCCTCATGTGTAAAGTAAATAAAGTAAATAAATAAATTTAAAGTGTCATCTAGTTTCTAACCTCAAATATACAAGGTGCTTTTCATGTCTACCTTGAAGGTTATTAAGCTTGTGGATAAGCCCTTAAGGAATGCATCCCATTACATTTCCAGCAGTTAGTGCCAGGAGGCCAGAAAGCTGCATTGAAAAAATAATGCTGTTGGAGTAGGCCATTTTCTAGTGGGGTGAGCATCCCTTGCTGCAGCTATATTAAAGATTCCTATGGTTTTTTTTTCCAAGTGCACCTAGATTTTTCAGAATGACATGCATTTATAACTAACCAGCATTGATTCTAGAAAATCACTCTCCAAGAAAGTACCTGAATATTTTTTAGTACATGACTGTTTCAAAAGCATCTACAAATAAGGTTTCTAGAAAGCAAAGAAGAACTAATATATCATTAACAGGATTCGGGTTTTTTGTTTGCCGCAACTAAAAGCAGATTTTCTCCTTTAAAAGAGAAAAACGTTGGAAACTGTGGGTTTCTCCTTGGCTGTCATGTGACCTTCTCCAGGCTGGCAGAGTTCCATTCTGGGCCAAGTCAGTACTAGAGAATATTACTATTGACTTGAATGAGGCTAGCATTTCACTTTTGAAAAATGTGTTCCATCTTCCCACCCTCTCCCCTTTTTTAGTGGTATTACAAGTGTTCAGAGAACAAGGGAGAAGGTAACTTTGTCACTTGCCTACTTGGTTTTCCAAAAGCACAGTTGTTCCTCATACCAGTTCTAGTTTCTTTTCCTGGTTGATAACACTTTAGATTTTGACAGACCCCTAAAAGAATATATACCAAAATCTTTAGTTTTGGAATGGAAGAATATATTCTTCTTGGGCAGAATATAGGAAATATCTAGAAGTCTTTAGATATACCGACACAAAGTGGATGAATGATTTCCTTTGAGAAACAGACAGAATAGTGGTAATACCTTGTCTAACTCAAATCAGAGTCACAAGAGCAATTTATGGACCCTGGTGGGAGGAGAGGGATACTAATGAACAGGTTGATCGAGCCAACCACTTTGTTTTGTCCCTACGTTCTTAATCACTCTAGTCCATGTGTTGAATTATTTGATTGCAGCTTTTGATTATAAAGCGCCTAGAAGAGTATTCTTGCAACTTTGGAGAAATAGGGGCGGGGATGAAGGGTTCTTTGCTTTTGCAGTATTTGCAACTCTCACTGCAAGTTCTTTTTGCGTGTTAATTGTTAGTCATGTCTCTGGTGGCTTCCCTTCCCAGACTGATTCAGTGTACTGCTATTAGGAATCTAATGCATGCTGTTGGAGTCCCAAACATGCAAGGACAGCCTTTAATCCCATTTACTTGTGAATTTCCATTGTGTGAGTGTGTTGAGGCATCACAGATAGATTGATTTGGGGACCAGATCCAGTAAAGGTCTTAAGTTAGGCATCGTGGCATCTTCCTGAAAGCTAGCCACCAAAATGCCTAACTCTTAAGTAGCTAGTGCCCAGAGCAGACTAAAGAACCTTACGTTACACATATAGGCTCCCTATGCAGGGCATGGTGAGAATTAGGCACTTCAGGGCAAGATACTAAACCGCCAGCATGCTGAACAGGGGCGTTGAATACTATGTAATGTCAGCACACTGCCACATAGGTTTAGCTAACAGAGAGACTGAAGACAGAGACGTGCAACTCTAGGATGTATATCCATACCAGTATGGATGTGCTTCCATCCACCTTTTTAAAGCAGTCTATTCTGTATTCAGTTTTTACAAGAAAAGCAAATTTTGTGAAGCAAAGAGGGATTTTGTACACAGGAAAGTGGGATTTTAAAACAAAACAAAAAACGTTCTTACTCCAAACCATTTTCCATTCTCAAATTTATAATTTAATACCATATTATTTATGTTTCATACATTACTTGCATGTAAAGTGACAATTCCCTGAATTTCTCATTTAAGGATCCAATTCTATTCCTGTTTAACTAAATGAGAACAAGATCAGTCCCTCAGATTAGATAAAATATAGACCAGCACTTTACTCTGTAACTGTTTATATGATTAGTCCCATGGCTTCAGTGGGACTATCCAGGGAAAAACAGCACAAGCAATTAGGCAAAAGAATATAGCATATACTAGTATTTTCTTTCTGAATATCTTGTTTGTTTCAGTATTTGTGTATACTTGAATATATTCATGTTTAAAATAATTTCATTTAAAACTATTATTTAATTCAACTGAAGAATTAGGAGGTAAGGTATAAAGTGGATTATTAGAATCTAATGGTCTCCTGCACCTTGTGTGCTAGTAATGATTCAGTTAACAATATAATTTTGAATTGTCCTAGTTTCTGATTTTAAGTATATAATTTACACAGTAGCCATAAGTGTGTAATGTTATATACACGCATACTTTCATCTACATGAGAAAAAATAGTTTAAGATGATTTCTGACAGGTGTTTGCAAACTAACATAGGAAAAACCTTTACCTAACTAAAAAAAAAAAAAAGGAAAGAAAAAAAGCAATTTATAAAATACTAAGTTTATTCACTGCCTAGCACTCCTCCTACAGGCAAACTGGTCAAATTACATTTGTTTGATAAATAGCTAGTTATATATATGTATATTAGTAAAAAACATTTTCAAGTGTGATTGAGTAAATATTTGGTATTTCCACTTGTACTTTGGAAGTTCAGGTGCTACACAAAGAATAATTGTAGTGTTTTGTCAAATAACAACTATGTTTTATTTTCAGAACTCATGAATACTTGCAAACATTTTTATTTTTTTTAAAGAATTTAGGTACCCAGTTTTGTATTTGATATGTAATGTTAGCTACTTTAAGTCATAATTTGCCATCTTCAGACAAAATTTAACATTAAAATTCATTTTACATTCACTAGCAATTAATAGTTGTCATTACCTGTGAGTACCCAAGCCATTTTGCTTGTGGGGTATTCCATTACAGAATTTTTGCAGTAAAAAAAGTAGATGTTAGTATTTTCTTATTAAGACCAATTTTAAATTAATCTCTTTTTGTTAACATAGATATATTTTTCTTTTCTTTTATGCTTACCTTTATCTACCTTAAAAATGATTGTTAAGGAGTGAAACAACATATAACATTCAGTCCTTATACTTTACAAACTGAGCTTTTGAGAGAGTAATGATTTTGAGTGCACCACTATGAGACATTTAGAAGGGGCCTGATTTTTCAGAAAGTGCTCAGCTCTTTTAAAATTAGACTCCCTTAAGGTGCTTCAAGTTTGGTGCCAACAGTTGAAACACCTGAAACCTCTAATAATTTTTTTTGCTGAAAATATAACATCTTTTGGAGGTGCATGAGATCTCTCTGCTTTTAAGAAAAATGCATTTTGGTAGGCCTTACATGTCCCTGGTTGTAACAAGAAACCATTACACCTCCTACCTTCTGGCTTTGAGTCCTCATAATTCTTTTATTCACAATGACAAAGAAAAGACCTAAGGGAGAACAAACAATTGTGATCTTGAAGAGAGAGAGAGAGAGAAAATATGGTGTTCAAATCTGAATAATCGAAACATCGGTTTGTTAAATTTTTAACGCACTATACAGTAAATGATGTTAATACTTTTTCCCTCATGTATTAGCACCAGTTAATCTGTTGCTCTGTATTAGCTGTTGTAATCCTATTGGCCTTAGACTGTGACCAAGGAATCAGTATTTATACACGTCATACAGACATGTATGGCTGCCCCACATATTATAAGGTCAGAATGTTTGTCCACCGACTTTGTCTATATTTATGTAGTGACTATTCCTGATTCCTTAGTTTCTTGTGGGTTACGTGAGATATAGGAAAGTATTAGCCATAATTATGTAGCTTTAAAATAAGGGAGTCAGCTAATCTATGTGTAGGTACTTGGTCCAGTTA